TTTTGCCTGACCACCTAAATTATCCATCAAAAAATCTATCTTTGCATCTTGATCATCAATAGCTTTTAAATGTTTCCTAGCATCATCTTACGATTCTGCTACATCGGGGTCACTCTCTTTCACAGGCCTACCACACAACCTTGCAATTTTTTTTTTCTCGCAACAAACACAGTTTTATTTGGTTTGTGTTGATGTTTTATTTTCTAACTCTTCTGATTTTTGTTTTTCAAGTACAAGAAGTTCTTTGTTTTCCCTCGTAGTAGACATTTTTGAAAGAGTGGATTGATACACTAATACACAGTTATATTTACACAATTCTTATTGTTTAAGTGCACAGTTATAAAGAGGTAAAAGTTTTTTTGTCACCTCAGTGGGCGTTGTTTGGAACACAGATGTCCGTTGCGTTGTCGTTGAACGTAAACTAAACTTAAGTATTTGGCGAATACACTTGTTAACTGGTAGTTGAACTTAGAACTCAGGACATCAGAAACGTCAATCGAATGGCACTGTAGTCTGATAGAGGTCGACAAAGGCAAAAGGCACTTCAGAATTCCGAAGTTGTCATCGAGTGTGGGCCTAAAAGTAACTCTTGTCGTCTACCCGAAAAGTACTGGGAGCTAGTTTGTGCTCTATGGGAGGTACTGATAATTTTGACGAGTATATATCGTGGACACGCGCCGGATATGGCAAACGTGCAATCACACAACATTGAAGGGACACATGGATTCGGAAATATCTTCTTTGTCTGTCTGTCTGTCTCTCTCTCTCTCTCTCTCTCTCTCTCTCTCTCTCTCTGTGTGTGTGTGTGTGTGTTACAAGTAATAATAATTAAATAGAAATCAAAAAGAAGAATTGAATGTGTTAAGATATGCTTTGGACAAAGCAATTTTAAGCTGGCTTTCATAATCACATTTTTTCCTTAAAAAAAGAAGGTTTGCTACATCTACTAGTCTTCCTTGTTTCCTACAGTATGAGATTTCCTAAAATGAACAGTAAAACACAGTCGTGATGGATATTTTCAATTTATTCGATGGGGCTGTACAAATATCCAATCTTTCATAATGCCCCCTTTTTGAATAAAGGCATAAAATGAAAGTATATAAACAGTTAAATAAATCATACCCCCTAAAAATAAATCTTAAATGTATTATATTTCATGGAAATGTAAAAAGTCATACCAATATATATATATATATATATATATATATATATATATATATATATATATATATATATATATATATATATATATATATATATATATATATATATATATATATATATATGAATAAAATTAATTTGACGTTAGAACAAGATATAGTCGTTGCAAACATTGCAAGTATTTTTTTTTAAATTTGAAATATTAGACTGTTTATAACTTAAAATTCTCATTTACGCTTATTATTTATGACGTTTGACTTTCTCCCACAGTTTTCTTGTGAGTTAATTTAAAAGTAGGATTCGGACTTAGAGATGTTTTAATAGTTCTTGGGGAAAATAACAAAATTTATTAACGCCCTAGCCTTTGTACAATACCCAGAGACTGATAAGGTCACAAATATTTTAATTAATTAATTAATTAATTAGGAAATAAATTTATGTATTCTTTTATCTATTTTTTTTTTTTTTAAATATTAATATTTACTTTATTATTTATTTAACATATTAATGTTTCTTTACAATGAATATTTATTTTAAATCACATACTAATCTCTTAGCTATTATATGGAAACAACTTTTTTTAAAAACACAAAAATTAATTTTAAAAGTTAATTTCATCTAATCTTTTTATTGTTATTCATATCATGATTTATTTGCTTGAAAAATATTGCATAAGATCAGCTTTCTGCTTCGGTGAGCCATACAGGGGCATACTGGATCATAAGACTGTAGGTTACTGTATCATGCTGGGGGTATATACGATGGCATACTGAGAATTACTGTATAACACAGAGGAGGCAAACCGTTCCACACTGTAGATATACAGTAGATAGCTGTGGAAATGCTGAGGGTTACAGAGAAAGACGAGGGATTATCATACTGACAGGGGTTTTGAAAGCCAGTAGTGTATTAGTTTATTATTTGATGCCAAACTCAATGATAAAGAATATCTTTTGAGGCTAATCTAGTAAGCATGGACTACTATATTTGTCACTACAGAATATGAACTTCTTAACGTATGCCTAAGGGTGGAAATTATACAAATCCCCGCATAGGTTATTGGATCGTTGCAGACACTACTGGATTGGAAAAGTGGTTAGAATTTTCAAAGTTTTCTTACAGCGTTTGATAATTGCTGAAACTGTGCTGTTCTTGCCTATAAATACTGATCTTTACTGTTATTGTTGCTGCTGTTGCTGATAAGTTTAGTTGTTTCTGATAATTACTGACATTTATTGTCGTCTTTACTGATAGGTCTGATCAATACTGACAAATGCTGTTGCTGTGCTACCGATGCTGAGAATTACCGTGGTCATTGTTTCTAGGGTGAAAAAGAATATATTTTCTAAGAATATTCATTACAGTCTACTTACAAGGAAACTTCTGAATAAGATCACATTGTATATATATATTTTTTAAATATCATCATTTATTTATTTTTATGCCCCCGGATCGAAAGATCCCGGAGGTATATTGTTTTGTCCTGTCTGTCTGTTTGTCTGTCTGTCTGTTGTCAACTTTAACCTAGCCCATAACTATTGCGCTGTCAAGGATAAGGCTTTGATATTTGACATGAGTGTACATTATGACAAGACCTTTCCATTGGTACAGAAATATTTGATCATGTGACCTCAACTGTGACCTTTGACCTACATTTGAAAAACTTTAACATTGGCTATAACTATTGCACTATATTCTTCGTCCCACTCCAGAATTGTGTTACCATCGGGGGCATAAAGTTTCACTAACACATCCTGTTTATTTTTCTTTAGTTCAGTCAATAGTTGCAGATATCGATTAATATTTTCATGTAGAAAATGGCTGAATATTTGAAAAGTTACATGTATAAAAGGGATCCGTTGGCTCTTATAGTTAAGTCCCCCCTACAATTCTCCTTTTGAAAAGGCATTATTAAATATCTCACACAAAATCCATTCATGTAATATATACTATTACCTTTTATTGAAGATTGTGCTTATAACGTGATGGGTTCAATTAATAAAATTTTATAATATTTAATTTATTGAATTGAAGTGGGTTCATTGAGCTACAGAATACATATGTAGTGCACTCTATTATTGTACTTTATATACTCCACTCAATTTATTTTTTTTAAATCGTGTGCTATCAAGCTTTATGTCGTTCGTTTTTTTTTCCAGTTTTTTATTTGATTTTTTAAGCGATCAGTAAGTCACATCATGAAGTGTGATTTTCCGTAAATGAAATCTGCAATGTCTTTCTTTCTTTTTTAGTCCGATAATTACCGGTTACAGCTATAGTACAGAAAAAATAAATTACCCACTTACATGATTAATAAGTTTTGAAAATCTTGCCATTTGTGTCGTCATGTTGGTTATTATGAAACTTCGTGTAAAATATTTACATGTACGTACATAAATCTACACCACGAGTACATGTTGCTACTTTCGTTTTGAGAGAGTTGGGTCATATAGTGCATTCAGTGAATACCTGTATTTCTTACAACAAGCATAAAGTAAAAAAAAAGAAATGGCCAAGTACACCAGAGTATCATTAGTTTTTAATTTCATCTCTATTTGTCCTTACACTATCTCTGTACAAGAAGTACATGTACACGTTGAGTGTTTACCGACATGATTCAATTCGTGATTCAGACAGTAGCCCAAAAAGAGGGGGAAGCGTGAAATACTGTTAACTTGACTGATTGGTGCAAGGTTGATTTTTTTAACAATAATTATCTATTTTTCATTATATACATGAAATAAATTATCTTAGAGATTCAATGAGCTGGAGAAAATTCAGAACTTTGATATTTATTCATATGTGCGATCAAAATGTTACTTTATATCATTTTTTTTTATCGGTTTTAGCAATGTGGGGTTTCCCCAATTGTGAATCAGTGTGAACAGCTGATACTTATATCATTACAGATTGCTTTCACTAAGCCATCTTTATTTATAAATACACATATACTTGTTGCATAATATAATTTCTAAGATGAAGTCCAAACCTTTTCTTTATTAATTTCCTGTCTCCGTTTCATGGGCCTTTAACAGAGATTCCGAATCGAAGTTATCCCCACCCCCTCCCACCCCACGCTTATACTTTATACATCATCTCAAGAAATATAAGTAAAACTAGCAAATGAGTATTAAATACTGAGCAAAGATCTTTGTGAATTAAAAAAGGACCTCTAAGTTACATCATTTGTTTAATCAAATTTGTAAATAACTCGATTTTTTTGTTTCTGTTTTTTTTTTAAATCTTAGTCTCCTATTTTGCTAGATTTTTTGTTCTTTCAATTTGATTTGTAAACAAAAACAATAGAGGTTTAATCTATTGTGCGTCCATGAAGATTGTTTATTCTCCAAGTGTCAAGTATGTACTTTTATTTACTATGAACACCGGTGGTCACAGACGAAAAAAAAAATGTAATTAGTGCTCAGTGTTCAGTGACCACTACAACTTACATGGAATTTACAGCGATCAAGCTGTTTTTGTTTGTTAAAAAGATATTGGCCTATTTTTGGTAATACATTGCCATTTTATACTACTCTTCCTTACTTGACTTTGTATTTTGTATGTATGTTAATATGTTCATCTACCATATATACCATATATACCATTGGAATGTCTGAGTGTAATAAGCAAACGAGGTTGTGTTTCTAATGCAATCATTATTTCAATCGATTACATTTCTAAAACATGTAATCATTAATAACATGTCTAGATCTACAGTTCAAACTTAATAAAAAAAATTGGACCCTAATACATTTATGAAGGCTTCATGCATTCCTTTTTTGCCGATAAAAATAATTGAAAAACAACTAAATACCACGGATTTTCCTTCTTTTTTGTAGAAATCTTTCCAGGAACAAAATTACCATAGTACAGGACAATGCCTTCAACGGTTTAGGAAACCTTTCTATACTGTAAGTATATCTTAGTTTTACTCAGTTTGACATTCTATATGTGTACTTATTTCACGTACTAGGTAGTTACATGTACATACATGTATGTGCATGTATAAGTCACCATTACTTATGCAAAACTGTCTTTTTTCCCATACTTTTTCAAAATCTGATAATGCTGGACGACAAAGATCCCACAAACAATAGAAATCTGTGAGCATACAGGGCATAAAACACCGCTCCCCTAAAGTTTCTAATAGTGGGATCATGTGACTAGGAGAAGTAAGCTTCCCTTGTCGACCCCTCAAACCCACCGGAAACCCTATGGGTCTATTGACATTTCTTCTGAGGAACACGTTGAGGATTCTGCACGACGTATATATTCTTTATATAATAAAGAAATCAAAAACAATGATCACTATTTTTACTTCAGATGTCAACCGTATGATAAGGGGATATTAATGTCATTTGCTGTTTTATTACAAAATATAATCCAGTTGGTTACTCTTAAAATATTTACTGATTATCTTCTCTTATATTTTGAAATCTTCTGTTCGATGTGAGCGTGAATTTTGATTTTCTCTTATGACGTTGCACTTCCACGGCGTTTAAACGTTTGTGACGTCAAAATAAAACGCATACTGTAACCTATTGACCCCTTATCCGTGTTATGGCCTTTTGAATGCCGTAGCTTTCGTTACCCTTTATAAGCAAAATACATGTTGAATGTAAATATTGATTTATATTTTCATGTAGAAATGACTGAATATTTGAAAATTACATGTATAGTTTACCCCCCCCCCCCCCCCCCCCATTCTATCTGAAAAAGGCATTATTGAATATGTCATACAAAATCTATTCATGTAATATAAACCATGACCTTTTATTGAAGATTGTGCTTATAATGTGACAGGTTTAATTAATAAAATTTCATCATATTTGATTAATTGAATTGAAATGGGACCTTTGAGCTACGAAATACATAATATAGTGCACTGTAGTGTTTTATTTTATATCCTCCACGCATTTTTTTTAAATTGTGTGATATCAAGCTTCCGTTTTTTTTTTTCTTTTGTAAAGATTTTTATTTGTTTTTTAAGCGATCAGTAAGTCAAATTATGAAGTGTGATTTTCAATAAATGAAATCTGCAATGTCTTTCTTTCTTTTTCAGTCCGATAATTACCGGTTACAGCTATAGTACAGAAAAAATAAATTACCCACTTACATGATTAATAAGTTTTGAAAATCTTGCCATTTGTGTCGTCATGTTGGTTATTATGAAACTTCGTGTAAAATATTTACATGTACGTACATAAATCTACACCACGAGTACATGTTGCTACTTTCGTTTTGAGAGAGTTGGGTCATATAGTGCATTCAGTGAATACCTGTATTTCTTACAACAAGCATTCAGTTAAAAAAAAAGAAATGGCCAAGTACACCAGAGTATCATTAGTTTTTAATTTCATCTCTATTTGTCCTTACACTATCTCTGTACAAGAAGTACATGTACACGTTGAGCGTTTACCGACATGATTCAATTCGTGATTCAGACAGTAGCCCCAAAAGAGGGTGAAGGGTGAAATACTGTTAACTTGACTGATTGGTGCAAGGTTGATTTTTTTAACAATAATTATCTATTTTTCATTATATACATGAAATAAATTATCTTAGAGATTCAATGAGCTGGAGAAAATTCAGAACTTTGATATTTATTCATATGTGCGATCAAAATGTTACTTTATATCATTTTTTTTATCGGTTTTAGCAATGTGGGGTTTCCCCAATTGTGAATCAGTGTGAACAGCTGATACTTATATCATTACAGATTGCTTTCACTAAGCCATCTTTATTTATAAATACACATATACTTGTTGCATAATATAATTTCTAAGATGAAGTCCAAACCTTTTCTTTATTAATTTCCTGTCTCCGTTTCATGGGCCTTTAACAGAGATTCCGAATCGAAGTTATCCCCACCCCCTCCCACCCCACGCTTATACTTTATACATCATCTCAAGAAATATAAGTAAAACTAGCAAATGAGTATTAAATACTGAGCAAAGATCTTTGTGAATTAAAAAAGGACCTCTAAGTTACATCATTTGTTTAATCAAATTTGTAAATAACTCGATTTTTTTGTTTCTGTTTTTTTTTTTAAATCTTAGTCTCCTATTTTGCTAGATTTTTTGTTCTTTCAATTTGATTTGTAAACAAAAACAATAGAGGTTTAATCTATTGTGCGTCCATGAAGATTGTTTATTCTCCAAGTGTCAAGTATGTACTTTTATTTACTATGAACACCGGTGGTCACAGACGAAAAAAAAAATGTAATTAGTGCTCAGTGTTACAGTGACCACTACAACTTACATGGAATTTACAGGTTGTACCCTGTTCTGTCCTAGCGCTCAAGACGCAATCAAGCGAAATCACAGGCTGACCATCGATTTTTGATCAACAGAAATCAATTTATAAGTGTATTTATTTCATTTATATCTTTGAATTTACAATATTAAAATCGGTTATTTTAACCATCTAGTTTAGGTATTAGGTGTCATTCCTTATTTCCTATCTCGTCCAATATTATCTTCTGAAAAATTTGAAATTGAATTAAATGAATGAGATTTTTTAAAATTCAATGGAGATTTGTGTGCTGACTAGTGGAACTTTACGAGACCTACATAAAAATACATGTTTGTATTATTGCACTCAGACAAGGGACACTGACTACTAATATTTAAAATCAGCACCTCATCGACCGGTTGTACATGTAGCAGAGTTATATTCTGGGATCTTTACGATGTACAAACGCTCACCGTACGTTCAAAAAAGTTTCTGCACCCCAAGGATGAACATATTCCAATGTTGAGACTTTTTGATACATCTTTCATATTTTGAAAAAAATATAGAAAGTGTAAAAATTAGCAGTTTCGGGCAGATTTTCAAATTTTCAAGGATAAATGATCAGAAAGACAAAACATTAACAAACATAAAAAAAAAAATCTGTGCATGTCTTCGGAAAGGATAAAATATTACCGACTGACCAATAACGGCCGCAAATCACGGCCGGGAAAATTTTAGAAGTATTTTATTTTTGTATTTATTTCGTAATGATGGCAGATTCTTGCCTATTTTGTCATTTCATGAAGAAATAAAGCATTATCAATCGACCATGCCTTTGAATCACATGCCCACGATATACTGCTCTTTCATCTTAAATATTCGAGCAATCAATATTTTGTTAAACAACAACAGATTGTGTATAAGACATATACAATGAGGAGTTTCATACAAATGACACATTCCTGTGAATACTGTAGTACCCAATTTCAAGTGGCATAGACATAGTTTTGAAGTTTATATTCTTTAAAATTTTCAAATGAATTATAAAACGTATATGGTGCCAGATCGTTTCCAGACTGATACATAATAAAGGTGTGTACTGAAACTACTATTATCTGAAAACAATCATGACTACAAAAATTCATATCAGGGATGGGCACGATTACTGAAAAATGTAATCGATTAATAATCGATTACACTCATGTTTGTCCTGTAATCGATTGTAATCGATTACTTTGGAAGATGTAATCGATTAATAATCGATTACTCCCAAGTTTTTATCCCTTCAAATATCAAAGCAATATTTAAATGGTAATGTTGATGATATCCACTGAAGTTTGAATGTGTTCCTGCAGTTTCAGTGCAGATTCTTTTAAGGTTTTATTCTGGCTAACATTCTCACTAAATGCCCAAACGAGGGATTCTCTACCATGGAAAGTGGAGACATGATTCCTACAATAAAATATGCCATGGAATTAATTATTCCTTTCAACCTTGGATCTGAACCTCCATATTCAGATTTGACTTGTTGCAAAAATTATTTATTATAAAATAATTTTATTGTGAATAACTTCGTTAGAAGTATTTGGGCTGCCCGTATGTTGACAGTACACATTAAACATTCTTGTGTCTTTTTAAAAAAAATAAGTAAATTAGAACTCTTAGTAATAAACATGTAAATCAAATGTCACAGTGTCTTTAAGTAATTAAACTAATAGCACAATTTCATTCTGTATTGAAATAAGTGTTTTGAGAGCTATTAATTGTTTTAATAATATTGTTTGTCTTCAATAGAACTATGAATAATAAAAGTTAAAACTAGGTAGTTCACAGTTTACACCTCATTATCTGCAAATCAGGGATGTCTCAGTCAATTAATTAGCCAAGATAAAACACAGTGACACTTACTCCCTCTCTTACAGACACTTATAACCTCTCACTGATATAAAAGAAACCTTACAATTTTGAATGAAAACATGAGAATGATTTTGCAAATTTTAAAGTTACTAAAACAACAAGTTTGAAGTTGTTTAAACATTCATTTTTCAGATATGAATAAGTATTTCCATCTTCTTTTTTTCGAGTACAATGTAGTTTATTTACCAAATCATTTATATTTAATACAGCACTTAGATCTGTTTTTGCTATTTATAATTTTCTATTACAACCACAAAGTTTTTCAATATTTGAAATATGAAAAAGGACATGCAGCAAGAGGACTATGGGTCAAATGTAAAATGCAAACAAAAAATCTATATATTTTATTAATAAATAGTTGAAATACACTTCTGATTTATTTAATACTAGACCAGTAGGTCTATAATGCAAATTTTATTGAGAACATTATTAAACTTATGATAATAAAAGTTAGGTAATCCAAACATTACATAGTATGTACACTAGGTTGTTTATATTTGATATTTGTGTGTGAATGACAGGAAATAATTCTCCAAAATAACATCCACTTATGCATAAAATAATCGAAAGTAATCGAAAAAGTAATTATAATTACATTGAAAATTTTAGCTGTAATCGATTAAATTACGATTACAAGTAATCGAAAATCTCTTCGATTACAGATTACTGTCGATTACTTGAAAAAAAAGTAATCATTACAATCGATTACGATTACTCGATTACGATTACCCCATCCCTGATTCATATATACATTCTTGCATATTAATGCATTTTTTTCCGTTTTAATATTTAAGAAAATTGGAGATTCGGTAATGATATGATTGAAATTATTAAAATAATGTTTTTAAATTATATTAAGTGCACTGTGTTAGCAAATCGAGCACACATGATAAAAAACTAAATCATAAACAATAACAGAGCTCTATCCCATATACAAACACGGGATTTTGCTGAGAGTTTAAGTCAGTGAACACACAGAAAATATTAGATTCTTAAAAAACGCAATTGTAAGTGTGTATGTTCCTTCATAATCCAGGTTTATTTATTGACTATGAAAATGTGAAAAATGTTATACATTTTCACGTTAGCAATATATTTTAGTATATATTGTGTAATATTCATAGCTATGACTTCTTTCAGTTTATGCAAAGAAGAAATATATGAAAATTAATCGATTGTAATGATTAATGTAATGTTGGCTCATATTTTTCCTCGTTACATATAAAACTTAATGGTAAGAAGTAGTGTTTCAATGTAAATAATTATAAGTTTGAGAACATTAAGTCCACCACAAATTTTGACTCACCGATCAAGCTGTTTTTTTTTGTTAAAAAGATATTGACCTATTTTTGGTAATACATTGCCATTTTATACTACTCTTCCTTACTTGACTTTGTATTGTGTATATATGTAAATATGTTCATCTACCATATATACCATATATACTATTGGAATGTCTGAGAGTAATAAACAAACGAGGTTGTTTTTCTAATGCAATCATTATTTTAATTAATTACATTTCTAAAACATGTAATCATTAATAACATGTCTAGATCTACAGTTCAAAGTTAATAAAAAAATTGGACCCTAATACATTTATGAAGGCTTCATTCATTCCTATTTTGCCGATAAAAAAGAATGAAAAACAACTAAATACCACGGATTTTCCTTCTTTTTGTAGAGATCTTTCCTCGAACGAAATTACCATAGTACAGGACAATGCCTTTAACGGTTTAGAAATCCTTTCTATGCTGTAAGTATATCTTAGTTTTACTCAGTTTGACATTCTATATGTGTACTTATTTCACGTACTAGGTAGTTACATGTACATACATGTATGTGCATGTATAAGTCACCATTACTTATGCAAAACTGTCTTTTTTCCCATACTTTTTCAAAATCTGATAATGCTGGACGACAAAGATCCCACAAACAATAGAAATCTGTGAGCATACAGGGCATAAAACACCGCTCCCCTAAAGTTTCTAATAGTGGGATCATGTGACTAGGAGAAGTAAGCTTCCCTTGTCGACCCCTCAAACCCACCGGAAACCCTATGGGTCTATTGACATTTCTTCTGAGGAACACGTTGAGGATTCTGCACGACGTATATATTCTTTATATAATAAAGAAATCAAAAACAATGATCACTATTTTTACTTCAGATGTCAACCGTATGATAAGGGGATATTAATGTCATTTGCTGTTTTATTACAAAATATAATCCAGTTGGTTACTCTTAAAATATTTACTGATTATCTTCTCTTATATTTTGAAATCTTCTGTTCGATGTGAGCGTGAATTTTGATTTTCTCTTATGACGTTGCACTTCCACGGCGTTTAAACGTTTGTGACGTCAAAATAAAACGCATACTGTAACCTATTGACCCCTTATCCGTGTTATGGCCTTTTGAATGCCGTAGCTTTCGTTACCCTTTATAAGCAAAATACATGTTGAATGTAAATATTGATTTATATTTTCATGTAGAAATGACTGAATATTTGAAAATTACATGTATAGTTTACCCCCCCCCCCCCCAATTCTATCTGAAAAAGGCATTATTGAATATGTCATACAAAATCTATTCATGTAATATAAACCATGACCTTTTATTGAAGATTGTGCTTATAATGTGACAGGTTTAATTAATAAAATTTCATCATATTTGATTAATTGAATTGAAATGGGACCTTTGAGCTACGAAATACATAATATAGTGCACTGTAGTGTTTTATTTTATATCCTCCACGCATTTTTTTTAAATTGTGTGATATCAAGCTTCCGTTTTTTTTTTTCTTTTGTAAAGATTTTTATTTGTTTTTTAAGCGATCAGTAAGTCAAATTATGAAGTGTGATTTTCAATAAATGAAATCTGCAATGTCTTTCTTTCTTTTTCAGTCCGATAATTACCGGTTACAGCTATAGTACAGAAAAAATAAATTACCCACTTACATGATTAATAAGTTTTGAAAATCTTGCCATTTGTGTCGTCATGTTGGTTATTATGAAACTTCGTGTAAAATATTTACATGTACGTACATAAATCTACACCACGAGTACATGTTGCTACTTTCGTTTTGAGAGAGTTGGGTCATATAGTGCATTCAGTGAATACCTGTATTTCTTACAACAAGCATTCAGTTAAAAAAAAAGAAATGGCCAAGTACACCAGAGTATCATTAGTTTTTAATTTCATCTCTATTTGTCCTTACACTATCTCTGTACAAGAAGTACATGTACACGTTGAACGTTTACCGACATGATTCGATTCGTGATTCAGACAGTAGCCCAAAAAGAGGGGGAAGGATGAAATACTGTTAACTTGGCTGATTGGTGCAAGGTTGATTTTTTTAACAATAATTATCTATTTTTCATTATATACATGAAATAAATTATCTTAGAGATTCAATGAGCTGGAGAAAATTCAGAACTTTGACATGTATTCATATGTGCGATCAAAATGTTACTTTATAACATTTTTTTTATCGGATTTAGCAATGTGGAGTTTCCCCAATTGTGAATCAGTGTGAACAGCTGATACTTATATCATTACAGATTGCTTTCACTAAGCCATCTTTATTTATAAATACACATATACTTGTTGCATAATATAATTTATAAGATGAAGTCCAAACCTTTTCTTTATTAATTTCCTGTCTCCGTTTCATGGGCCTTTAACAGAGATTCCGAATCGAAGTTATCCCCACCCCCTCCCACCCCACGCTTATACTTTATACATCATCTCAAGAAATATAAATAAAACTAGCAAATGAGTATAAAATACTGAGCAAAGATCTTTGTGAATTAAAAAAGGACCTCTAAGTTACATCATTTGTTTAATCAAATTTGTATATAACTCGTTTTTTTGTTTCTGTTTTTTTTTTAAATCTTAGTCTCCTATTTTGCTAGATTTTTTGCTCTTTCAATTTGATTTGTAAACAAAAACAATACAGGTTTAATCTATTGTGCGTCCATGAAGTTTGTTTATTCTCCAAGTGTCAAGTATGTACTTTTATTTACTATTAACACCGCTGGTCACAGACGAAAAAAAAAAACAAATGTAATTAGTGCTCAGTGTTACAGTGACCACTACAACTTACATGGAATTTACAGGTTGTACCCTGTTCTGTCCTAGTGCTCAAGATGCAATCAAGCGAAATCACAGGCTGACCATCGATTTTCGATCAACAGAAATCAATTTATAAGTGTATTTATTTCATTTATATCTTTGATTTTACAATATTAAAATCGGTCATTTTAACCATCTAGTTTAGGTATTAGGTGTCATTCCTTATTTCCTATCTCGTCCAATATTATCTTCCGAAAAATTTGAAATTGAATTAAATGAATGAGATTTTTTTAAAATTCAATGGAGATTTGTGTGCTGACTTGTGAAACTTTACGAGACCTACATAAAAATACATGTTTGTATTATTGCACTCAAACAAGGGACACTGACTACCAATATTTAAAATCAGCACCCCATCGACCGGTTGTACATGTAGCAGAGTTATATTCTGGGATCTTTACGATGTACAAACGCTCACCTTACGTTCAAAAAAGTTTCTGCACCCCAATGATGAACATATCCCCAATGTTGTGACTTTTTGATACATCTTTCATATTTTGAAAAAAATATAGCAAGTGTAAAAATTAGCAGTTTCGGGCAGATTTTCAAATTTTCAGGGATAAATGATCAGAAAGACAAAACATTAACGAACATAAAAAAAAAAAAAATCTGTGCATGTCTTCGGAAAGGATGAAATATTACCGACTGACCAATAACGGCCGCAAATCACGGCAGGAAAATTTTAGAAGTACTTAATTTTTGTATTTATTTCGTGCTGACGGCAGATTTTTGCCTATTTTGTCATTTCATGAAGAAATAAAGCATTATCAATCGACCATGCGTTTGAATCACATGCCCACGATATACTGCTCTTTCATCTTAAATATTCGAGCAATCAATATTTTGTTAAACAACAACAGATTGTGTATAAGACATATACAATGAGGAGTTTCATACAAATGACACATTCCTGTGAATGCTGTAGTACCCAATTTCAAGTGGCATAGACATAGTTTTGAAGTTTATATTCTTTAAAATTTTCAATTTATCTTCTTTTAATTTTTAACATGCATGCAATTTTGTAGAGAAAAAAAATGAAATAGAAATTTAAATTATTCAAATACATAGACACTATTTTTCTCTGTTTTAATATAAAAAATGAAGATGACATGAATGAAAAAAAAAAAACTGTCTTCATTGTATCAAATAAGTAACTCATGAAATCATGAAAAAAATCATGTGCATAAAATCAACAAATAAAATTTTCCTGGGCAAAGTATCATACATGTAGGTGCTTCTCATGCAGCTTGTTATTAGATCTTTAATTGTATTACATTTATTTACATGTTAGTTGGTTTATTTAAAGGATGATAGGACTTTTTCACGAGCGCTGACTTTTACAGTCGACAGTTTACTTTTACACCAGGACAATATAGGGATGCTCTTTTGTGATATAAATATTTAGCTTAAAGGTAATTAAAACATAACGATGAGTTATTTCAAAGCACATAATAAGTCGTCTAGGGAGTGAACAACAGCCACTCTATCTTCATCCCCCTACCTTCCCTCCTTGACCAACTCCTGCCTACAGTGCAGGAAGCTAATTTTGTTACAGCATCGATGCTGATTTGAATGCTTCCTTAGCTTGCTGATTTGAATGCTTCCTTTGCTTGCTGATTTAATGCTAGTAATCCTTATCCTGATGCTGTTTTATAATTAGGTCAATGCTACCGGAAGTAGCATCATGCTACCGGAAGTAGATAATGAATTTCAGCATTGCCGTTTAAAGCAATAAAAGTGCCTTTTACAATTATTTGATCATAATATCTCACTATGTATCAATAATGTGAATACTTTAACCAATATTCTTTCTTTCTTTTTTAATTTTTTACTGAATTAAAACTCATTGATTTTCTGATGCTGGTAGGATAATGCTGATTTTATGTAGGTCAATGCTGGTTTTATCATTTGCTTGCTGATGCTGATCCTGGTAATGCTGTTTTTTAAATGCTGATGCTGATGCTAGTTCGATCCTGATGCTACTAATGCTTATGCTGATGCTGGTTTATGTAATAAAATTAGTTCCCTGCACTGTAGTTTTCCATGCGGAATGTTTTTTTCTTTATTTAATTCCTTCAAAAATAAGATATGAAGAAGATACTTCGCCTCACAAGTAAGGTATTTTTAGTTAATATGTTATTCTGTCTCCCGTCATCTGTTTTCTCATCCATTATCAATTCCGTACCTCCGTACATAACAGGGGTTTAAATGTCAAAGTAAGGCGTCGATTGTAAACATTTATGCTTCTCGCAAAAGTTTATTTTCAATCAAACAAATAATTTCTTACATAAGTCATCAGAAACAGGATAAGGAAAACCTTTTGAGTTTTGATGGTTGGCAATAAAAAAGTCAATGAACTTGACTGGGGAATGCTTTAGAGACAATGCACCTCGGAAGAATGAGGGTGCCTGCAGTGAAATAACCATTTTGCCCAATTCTTAAATAACAAATTAGAATTGAAGCACAAAATACCTTTCTGCCATGCTAAATGCTTAGATAAATTTATGATATGAAATGTTGTGAAACAGAATTTAATCCAAATGCAGCGAGAACTTTGTTTGGGTTTAGACAAAAAAGAATGAACCAAAATGAAAGCTTTCTCTTATTGCATGTAATAAATATC